TAATGGTAAAATGTTGGGTGCTTTCCATTTAGAGAAAAAATTCGGAAATTTCGGTGGGAACAAAAATGGATTTTCCGATAGGTAAAAAGTTGTTCTGTTTGATCGTAAACCCCGGAACGGTGCCGAGCCCGTTACGCGATGGGACACCTAGATGGCTGCCGAGTTGGTAACAATTGAAAATGGAACACGCAATTCCGTTCGGAACGTTCCAACCGGGAAAACGGGCCTACCTTTTCAGATTTTCCACTTTTTCCGGGAATTTTTCAGGGGGATAAGCGGCGAAACGTTTTCCATTTACTGCCAAACCGAAATTTCCGAAAATTTTGACCAAATGGAAAGCGCCCGTTACCTTGACGTCTTCTTTGGAATTCCTAGTTTGCGTTGAACAATTATTGCGTAAACAGTGCAGATACAAACTGAGTTAGGAGGTGAGTCGTATTGGTGCAGAACCATGTAGTCTCCCATGTTACGCCGTCACATAAGGGCGCTGTCTATTAATTATATATCCGACCCTTAGCTATGCGGACGCCCTTAGTTCGGCGCAAACTACAAGCCTCGCAATGAGGAGGAGTCAGTTATGCGTGAAATACATACAAAAGTTACACAATCGTGCATATTAGTCACCCAAATCACTTTTCACCTCCTAGTGGTAGCGGTCACACTCATGACTACAACCTCAGGACAAAGATCGAACAAAGACGACCAGTAATCAACCAACTTGCATGTAACAACAGGAACATTTGCCGTACGAAGCGTTTTGGCTCATTTATTACCTTCAATCAAGCGTACAGTGTACAAATGCTAAAAGTAGTAGTATACATGTATAGCGTTGTTGAATAGTGTAAATTTTTGAAGCTTGTATTTTATTCCTGTAATTCAGTTTTTTTAACTGCAATGGTGATTAATAAACAGTTTATTATTATTATTATTATTATTATTATTATTATTATTATTATTATTATTGTTATTATTAATATTATTACCATACAACCCCGATCTGTTTTGGGTTGTTTCGATGTCGTGTTGATGTCTTGCAAAGTTAATTTTCACGTAGTACGATCAGCTTTGCAGAATTCAATGTGTAGTCTCTGTCTTTGCCCCCCCTCCCCCCCGGGTTCTTTGTCTCTTCATTTCGGTCACATGTGGGGAGCTAAAACTTGTATGTATGTAAAGCTGATATAAAGTTCCTCAACGAGAACACACTACTAAAGTAAATGGGAACTTGATAATAGTGTGACAACCCTCAGTTGTGAGTACTTTGTCGTTCTTTAATATACGAGCTGTCTCATTATCAGCTCTCCTAAAAGCAAAAGAGAGCTTGTATCTCACCTTCGTTCTTATTCGTTGCATTTTCTGGTTTATTTATTAGATTATTTTTAAATTATTCAGAAAAACTCACATTTCACACGACTTTCTAAGCTGAAGTTCATTCCTAAAACACACCTGTACCTCTTAACTGATTAAATGAGTTAACAAACGGAAAATCTCCATTTAAAATGTTGTGTTGGCGCCAGCCCTGTCGGCTTGTATCGCTCAAATATACATAAAGCATTAAGTATAAAACAAAGCAGCCCGCAGTTCGGACGGCAGCTGTGGTACACTACAGTTTGCTTGCTTTATCAGCCGCGTATGATGGTGTTGTTAAAATCATTTTCATTGCTTTTGGTGGTCTATTATTCAACTTTCAGTTATGGGGAATCTGGTGGGATTCGGTCTGCGGAACAAGGTAAGCGGGTTTTTCGAAAGTACGAGCGCGAGCTTTTCTTGTAATCGATCAACACTGATGTCGTGCGACAGGCTGCTACTATAAAAACCGCGAGAGATTCACGAGCGCTTTTCTGCTTAACTCATTTCTAATTGCCGTGTACACGTTTGACTTTCTTGTTGTTTAAGTAAACAATTTTCCACGTGAACTGAAACTTTGTTCACTGTACAGTTAACTTACACTAAGACAAAGCTGGAACCATTAACGATGCCGGACGTTTTAGAGACCAAAAGCGCTATCATGCTTATTATGATCACGAATCATTACTCAGGGAAGCTTTAAGTCAGACGGTTTGTTTTTTGTAACAAAATAAGGATAGTTTTTAACTTTTTATAATCCTCAATTTTGAATTTAGTTCAAGCTTGTAAAACACATTCGCATAATAGGGAATCAGGGAATCAACAGTCACATTTCCGGCAAATCTAAATGAAGATATGAGCGTCTTTGTTGTAATCGAAATCATTAAGCAATTAACTAACTCAGCGCGAAAATTTTTAGGGCTTCAACGGGATTTGACAGAGCGCATGGCCTCTGCGTTAACTAAGGCTGCAGTGGTCTAATAACTATGCCTTGAAGACTTATAAATTTGGAACAGGCTAATTTGTTGAAAAAAAAGGGAAAGCAGGAGCACCTGATCGCAGGTTATAATCTTCTTAACCTGGAAAAGGAATAAACAGAATGAAGATGATGATTTTTTTGCATTTGGTAGAGCATTGCAGTGCTAACGCAAAGGCCGCTAAGGGTACCATCATATTGAAGCCTCAAAATTTTTTCAGCTTAATATGAGCTGCAATTGCATAAGTTGAGATAACAACTGCGACGGTCATATCTTCGTTTACATTTATGTCTCCGCATTTCACATCATTTTCATTCTATGTCACAGTTTAGTCCCTACGCTCTCCAACCTGTGACACGCCACTAAAGTCAAGAATAATTTCAGCTCAATGATCTGATTGTTTCAGTTAAGAGATATAAGCAGTTCATGTGATATAGATGCTCATTATTTTCTTCTGTTCACAATGAAGGTTCTTCATTTGAAGATAATACCGTTGAAGACAGCGAGACCAATTCCATTAATTCGCGTAAGTGGGAAATTTTAAATGCGTTTTCAATAAAAAGTTTGTTTCGTGTTTAATAAGGCATTTTAAATAAAGTTTTTCTGCTCAGTTTGTTCCCTTCCATTCAGTATTTACTTAATTATCAATACTGAAGTTTTCACTTCAGTTCCAGAGTAAAATGATATTATGATACAGTTCAATATTCTCTATACTTCCTGAAAAATTATCAAGCTTTCTCAGCATTTTATCTGCTCACAGCAACGTGTGGCCAGGTCACCGCAGCAGGGGGCCGGGTGATTGGTGGAAAGGACGCTACTGCAGGGGAATGGCCTTGGCAAGCAAAACTGGTTACCAGGGGTACAGGGTTCACTTGCGGTGGCTCTCTTATCACACGTGACTGGGTGATGACTGCTGCACACTGCATCTCAAGTAACGATCCCACTGCTTATAGCGTGACGCTTGGTGATCTCAACAGGGAGCAACCTGACGGTACTGAGCAAAACTTTAATGTCAAACGTGTAGCGGTGCATCCTAAGTACAACTGGCCAGTTCCTATCAATAATGACATAGCTTTGTTACAGCTGACAAGGCCAGCCACTCTAAACTCTTTTGTGAACACCGTTTGTTTACCACGTTACTCTGAGGTGGTACCAGCTGGGACCAAGTGCTTCATTTCGGGTAAAATTTATTCATTTATTATTTAAAACTCTTTGGAAAAATTGACTGACTGACTCACCGTCGCTGGTCAACGATCCACTTTTAAAATAACGTCAGGGNATACTTCCTGAAAAATTATCAAGCTTTCTCAGCATTTTATCTGCTCACAGCAACGTGTGGCCAGGTCACCGCAGCAGGGGGCCGGGTGATTGGTGGAAAGGACGCTACTGCAGGGGAATGGCCTTGGCAAGCAAAACTGGTTACCAGGGGTACAGGGTTCACTTGCGGTGGCTCTCTTATCACACGTGACTGGGTGATGACTGCTGCACACTGCATCTCAAGTAACGATCCCACTGCTTATAGCGTGACGCTTGGTGATCTCAACAGGGAGCAACCTGACGGTACTGAGCAAAACTTTAATGTCAAACGTGTAGCGGTGCATCCTAAGTACAACTGGCCAGTTCCTATCAATAATGACATAGCTTTGTTACAGCTGACAAGGCCAGCCACTCTAAACTCTTTTGTGAACACCGTTTGTTTACCACGTTACTCTGAGGTGGTACCAGCTGGGACCAAGTGCTTCATTTCGGGTAAAATTTATTCATTTATTATTTAAAACTCTTTGGAAAAATTGACTGACTGACTCACCGTCGCTGGTCAACGATCCACTTTTAAAATAACGTCAGGGTTGTCTCAAGAAGCCAAAGGGGTTGGGGTCAACTGTTGCAGGCTGTTATAAAAGTTGTTTTCCATCCTTTTTCGCCGTTCCACATTCAACAGACCTTATCCAGGATGCCGGACTAACTTTTAATCACGTAGGGACTGATGGATTGAAACAGTATCTCTACGTCTCTCAATTTCTGATGTAAGTTGTTTATTCAATTAAACAGAGGAAATAATTTTTGCCATGCAAAAAGTTTTCGTCCACTTTCCTGTCAAGGCTGTCATTATTGCTCGCCGCTTGTTCGGTCCTCAATTTGAACAAGCCAGGGATTAAAAGAGGTATTCCATGGTTCAAAGGCAAGTGCAACACAACTATTCATTTCTAAGCGTAATATCCTACACGATGACTTCATGCGACTTGTCGCGGGGAAGAACGTTTATAATAATGTAAGCAAAAAAATCATTAATATATGGTCTGATGGATATATTTACTCCCTCCCTTCCCATTTCCATGGATTGGGGTCCTTAAAGAGGTCCCTGAAATTAAATGAAATTCTCGCTTTATTCTGTTTATAGGTTGGGGACAGATGGATCATCCTGGTTCTGCTGCTACAAAGCTGCAGCAAGCTTCAATGCGTGTGGTATCCAACCGTGTGTGCCAGACCATGCACATGAACTCAGCCATTAACGCTTCAACTGCTGTTACTTCCGCCATGGTATGTGCAGGGGATGCTGGGAAGACTATTAAGAGTGGCTGCTTTGGTGACAGTGGAGGACCCTTTGTTTGTCAAAACTCCGCTGACCAGTGGATACAGCAGGGTATCGTCAGTTGGGGTGACCCTTCGTGCTCCTCTGCCAATCACTACAGTGTGTTTGCTCGAGTCAGTGCCCTCCGACAATGGATCGATGAAATCATAAACGAGTGAAAAGAGATTTGCAAACGAGCTGCGATCATCATAAAATCTGTATTAAAATATAGCATTAAGATCCAAGAGTGTTATAAAATATTTAAAGAATGCATTAAACAAGTTCTCTCTCTTGAGTTCTAAATTGTCTACACGGCCGACATACATCTGACAAGGCAAAAAGCTTCATTGAACGAAAAGGCGGTATACTGCCGCCGGGACTAACATGGTCTTGAAAGCTTTAGATATGGCTTAACCGCCTGAGGGTTGCCTATTGTTGGTAGTGTATTTCACCTCGTGGTTCTGTACCAGCTGTCCCTCTCATGATGCATTAAATCATTAAAGCTAAATAAACCTGTCGCGTCGTAATGGATCCGCACTAGCGTTTGTACGTGTTCCATTTATGTTTCATGTATGCAAAACGAAGACAACTGCGTTAGGAGTGCCGGAAGGGAAAAAATGCGAAATTTGTAAACATGAGAAAAACTGGCTGATAGTTATCAACAGAAGCCAATTTTTTTTAGTTTTCAGCCTTTGGCGATTTTTTTAAGGTTTTGACCACGACATAAAAGTATATCTCACATAATTTAAGGTGAAACACAGCAAAAGCTTTGGATGATAAAGGATGAGGATTAACTGTCAAGTTTTGTCGTATTCACCAATAGGGCGTAACATTCGGTTTATTAGTTTGATGATATTAATGCCACAGTGGTAAAATGATGGACATAAAATGAAGAAAGCCATCAGGAGAAATATGTTTTATTACTTATTATAATTTTTTGCAAAAGAAGCAAAGGAAGTTTATTATATTTCACCGGACAAAAAGCGTTCGTTAGTTTGACAGGTAGACGGATCAAAAAGCTTCCTACCATGTAAAAAAAATCCAGCACTTTTTTTTCACAATTTATTATGCGTGCTTCTGAGTTCCCAATATCGCTGATTCTGGTATAACGTTTTTGGATTCAAGTATCGTGAAGTCAAGCCTTAAACTTTGAACACGAAATTGCTTCTTTAATAAAACCATTAAATCATCTGCCGAGAACTACGTCGCGTTGTTTTTACCTCTTGTGCAAAAAACTGTATGGCTGACAATTCTTATCTCACTAGGTTTTACATAAAACAGCAATGATGATCTAACAGCAACCTAAACCATAGAAGAAAAAAGAAAAAATTTAGCCATAAGGTTGAAAGAAGATAGCCGACTGATGGAAATGACAATTTTACGGCCATCTGGTTGGTTGTTTATAGATAAAGGACTCTCTTGTGATGAATTGATCAGTCTGAAACGATTATATATATATAAAACCTTATATTATATATTCATCAGAGCAAGCGGTGAAAAAAAGCCTCGAGGACAAAGCGCTCGATGTTTGGTTTCAGGGACTTGCGATGATAAATTCACCAAACTACTCCAAAGCTTATGCCATACTGATCATCAGTGTGATCAGTTTTGCGGCTTTTTTAAGGATAATTGAAGGTAACATGGATAAACATTGATATTTATCAAAACACACAAAGCGTATAGTTTATTATAGTTCGAAAGCGACGCCGTAAACTTAAAACGCACCTTTCACGGAAGGTTTTACAGGTTGCTCTACATACATATCCAGTGCTCTGCATTGGTTTTTCGGTGTACTCTCGGCGCCTTTTTTTGTCATGTGTAGAATTCTGCTATTATATTTCGAAGTAGGTTGTTACCGAATGTATTTTATTATTGTGCATTTGATTTCCTTTAGCACCTAAATTAGAAACATAATTATTTTTCATTTTTTTAATATATTTATCAACTTTTGGAAGGCTACTCGTGAAACTCATTCCTAAACCTGCTGGTTAAAGGCCCTGAATATATCTCAAAAATTCTTTTATATAGCTGTAAGGACAACTGTGTAATAGATATTTCGACTGACCCTCCTCCGTCGCTGGTCTTGTGAAATTTTTTAGCTACTGAGCAAATTTTAGGGAATTTACTAGCTCTTTTCTCAGCATTTGCCACAACACAGGTTAACCAATTGCTTGTTTTCTTCATAGGAAACACTAAGCAATTTTATATCACACACAAGAAGTCAAGTTTTTAGTCCGATCAAGTATTTGAAAACCCTCTCGAACGCTAGTTATTAACTGAGTAGTGGCAGGCTTTTAATCAAGCCAAGTATGATGGGTAAATTCTCCGCATGGCAGCGAACAAAAGCAACTCGGATTTTGCTAGATATAGGGACGATTTTGTTAGTTGCTGTGAAAAAAAAAACTGACTACGGTAACGCAAATATTGTACACTCTGAAAGGGCCCAAAGTTCAGGGACCTCCTTTTTCCCTCCAAACGATTTTTGAATCTTTAACTTAGAGGGGTTCCCTAGAAGATGTAAATGTTTTGTCAACGGTTAGTATTTTATGCAAATAATAATATTTGGACATTAATTCCTAGAAATTTGTAGCATCCTAATGTCTCTAACACAAGCTCATGTCCGGTATTCAGGTCTCATACGGTTAAGTAGCAAATCCGGCTGCTTATGGAGACTTTTTTCGTTTTGAGAGCCTCTCATTTCACTCAGAGGTTTATTTTTTTTTTGATGTTTAAAGTATACGAAACTTTATAAGGATTAGGGATGAAAATCTGGAAAACTGACAATTTTCACGATCGCTTTATTTGACTGTAATGGCTTTTCACTTTCTTTTCTTCAACCATCCCGGCTACGTTTAAATTACAAAAGCGAAAATGTGATCGCGGTGTCATGCCTCAAAGCCCGCCACATTAGACTGGCTTAACACAGTAACTGTTATCTGATTCTCCTTATTTTCTAGCCCGGCATCACATCATTAGCCGTGGTCACCTCCCCCCAGAGGAACCGCACGACTTCACCGAGGACATTGAACCAGCTGTGGTAGAGTTACGTGGTAAACCTTCATCTCTGACAGATTATACTAGTTACTGAATTATGAATAACGAACTACGTGGCAGACGTCCCAAAAGGAAAGGGGGCAAGACATTGGGGCTACCGACTCGCTTTACCCTTCCCTTTCGAACACCTGCGATGTAGGCTAAATTATGAGAGGTGTTTATTCCTCACCTTAGTTTTAAGAGCTGATTAATGAGAGAAAAAATCTTTCTGACAGACCTCTACATGTTATTTGTGGAATCAATGCCGACCCTCGTAGGTTATTTTCTAAAGAAGTTTTTGTTTTTCTTAAGGGGCTGGAGAGAAGACAGCGGAAGGATCAAGGCAAAATCGGGGTAAATCAGAATTTACCCACTTTATGTAATAATTTCGACACGATAGGAAACTAGTTAAGCCACTGGCGACCAAGACTCCATGACAGCCGCTAGAATCTTCCAGTTTTTTTTTAAGGACAACCACTCATACTGTTCTGTATTAGTAACTGCAATGATATTTACACGAAACAAGTATCCAGTCAAGGGAAAAAACTTTATGATCTTCTACACGACGCAGTAAGTAAAGGTCACCGTATCAACTCCGAGATCCGTCGGAAATAATTTTTCAGATTGTACGTAAGGCGAATCTAATAACTGCTAATTATTCGGCACTACAGTGAGACATTTTCAATGTATTGAAAAGCATAGCACCGATGCCGTGGCATTACCATACTACTGATACTGAACAAAATGAGTATTTGTAGTTTATTATCTTTTTAGGCACACAGGAGAACAAAAATTTAGGAAATACGGAATATCATATGCCACCCCCAATTGGACCTATCAGGGATATAATATCACTACCAGCAGCAACCCTAAACCAAGGTAAAGAAATCATCATCCATTGCCGGCCGGGCTAGTGGGCCTCAGTTTGGTCAGTTTACTTAATTCCCAGAATAGAAATACAGCTAATGTTCCTGGCACGGGATGTTCTTGAAATTATACATTCGCCGTTTCAGTTAAGTATAATCCTGAGAAACGTTTGGTTCTAGGTCTCTATAGATAAAATGTCGATCATTATGATCATAAGTACTAAATAACTGGAAATCAATGTTTGACCAAAAATTCAAACAGTGCTGAAGGTGATCGTTCTTCAGAAGCATTTACTGTTTGTCTCTGCTTGTTTCACACAGCAAGCTGTGGTTACAGTTCGACTTCCTCTTCACGTGTGGTGAATGGAGCCGATGCAACTCTAGGAGAATGGCCATGGCAAGCTCGATTACAATTCAACAACAATCACTTGTGCGGAGGTACACTGGTGGCGTCAGAGTGGGTAATGACCGCTGCTCACTGTGTGTTAGATGAAGATACCAGCAAATTCAAGGTGGTGATTGGTGATGTGGACCGATATAAGAAGGAGGGTCTGGAACAAGAGTTTAAAGTCAAGAGCATCATTAAACAACCTCTATTCTCCCACCCAGTCCCATATGAGAATGATATTGCATTATTTCATCTGTCTAAGCCTGCCAAACCAAGCGATGCTGTAAATACAGCTTGTTTACCTGGATTTCTCCAAGATGTACCTCCCGGGGATGAATGTTATATCACAGGTTTAAATGTTATATCACATCCGAATATTGTAGACTTAATCGTTACAAAGAGAAAAACGTTTAAAATAACAACTTTTTGCTGATCATGTACTTGAGATTTTCCTGAATCTAGCAGCTCAACGAAGATCACGACAATGATTTGGGATAGTGTATCGTTAGTGTGATGAATTTAAAATAAAAACTAAGCTGCTTTGTTATCATTTTACATAATATTTACAGATGGACCTGGATGTTACTAAGTCTATGTATTTTCTGAGTCGAGATGGAAATTCCAGAAAAGTATTATATAACCAGAAAAAAATACGACTGCATTAATATATATAGTTTTCTTTTTGCATTAGGTTGGGGACAAATGTTTGGTGAAGGAAAATCCGCTCCAGTCCTGCAACAAGCTCGGATGCCCGTCGTCTCCAACAGCGCATGCGCAGCTAAACTGGACACTTCACCAAACGGCGGACTGCATACGGATAATCGAACCTGGATAGTAACTAGCAAAATGCTATGCGCGGGAGACGCGGGCAGAACTAAAACCAGTGGGTGCTTTGGAGATAGCGGCGGGCCTTTTCAGTGTAAGAACACCGCTGGTCAGTGGGTAGTACATGGAATTGTTAGCTGGGGAGACCCGGACTGTTCATCAAGTAATCATTATACCGTGTTCACTCGGGTGAGCGTGTTCCGAAAGTGGATCGAGCAGGTGCTGGAAAAATCAATGGCATAGAAAGATGAACTAGTCAAATACAAAGTTAGACTGTCTGATAGCTTGTATAACGTAGCAAAATTGTTAACATGATTCATGTTCATAAACTGGCGTAAAAAGGCTTAAAAAGGTGGACGATTCCTTCATTAACGTTTTTTGGGCTCAAGCTGCGACCGACTGACGAGCGCTATAATTAGCAAGAAGAAGTGTCCCTAAAAAACTCGGTTTCTAGCGTGCTATTAGGTAATTCTTAAATTAATATATATTCATACATATCAAATAACTAAACTCTGGCAATGAGTTGGTGATTAAAAATAAAGTTCCAGAATCATGACGGCAATAATTTTGTTTGATGACATTAACCAGTGCATACTTTACTGACCTCTAGAATAGAAGGTTACTTTGTCCCACTGCCATAAAGTTTGTTCCATTGCAGGTACAAATCAAGGTCTTTCTCAGACACACTGGCACGTACTTGGTGTAACGCCGCATCGAAATCCCTGAAAACAATGGGTGGAACCTGAAAAATAAAAACGGGGTCAGACTAATCACCATTCCCGCCGCTGGCCTAATCACGTAAAATAATAATGGATTTATTAAAACCAGGGTTAGCGGTCGGATCCAAGGCGCTATCTTAAGTTATAAATACGTATCATAAGTACTTTTTCAAAAGACTGTTGTTTTAAAACGCCCGTTCGGATATATCTCTAATAAATATATGAAAGGTTGTTAATCGGGCCTAGAATATAAGCGGCCCACCAACTATTTCGTAAGTCTATTCTCTGACAAGGAAGCCGAAAGGTGTGGATAGACAACCATCCTCTATACAGTAATTATCCAGGTATTGAAGGCAGAGTAATAAGCTTTACTCAAACTCGAATGGTTTCTTTTTTACTAGAGATTAACTGAACATACATATGCAAGATTCTTGCAAAAAGCGTAAAGATCCAATAAGCTCAGTTCTAGCTAGGTTACAGACACTCCACACAAATAATTAAAAACAAATAATGTAAATAGAATATAATAGGATTAAAGACCCAAGCAGGCAGTAGGTAACCACTTGGTTATTTACAAGCAGGATCGAGGATTTGAATTCGGGACCACGGAGAAACAAACCAAGCCAGTTGGTGGTCAGAGTTGGACATGAACCCGGGACCGCAGGACGCCCTTATCACCCTCCCACCCTGCTTCCCCCTGTAATGAGCACTTTTCCACCCTTCCGACATGAAACTGTTTCTTGCTGTTGTTGCTTTTCTCCCTATGTGGAGAGTAACTTTAAATATGAAAGAAGGCAACTAAGCAGTGATTTTGTTACAAATAGTTATGGTGAGCCCTGGGACTCTGTTTTACAGTATACTGAAATTAAAATATAGTCCCACTATTTAAAGCATAAAAAGGCTTAAAGAAATATATGTACATCGTTAAACAACAGCCAAAATAACTGCCACAGAAATTACACGAACGGGATCTTTCTACAAATACACACGCTCAGGTCGATCAATCGATCTTTGCGCATGCCATGAATTATTTTGCGTCTTTGGGGATTTTTATGCGTCAGGGACGCAGGACGCAGAGGTAACAATGTAAGTGCAACACAAATCACAACAGAGTCAAGACTGACTAAACATTTCTTCCGAAGAGAAAAGAAGCCCAAAAACGTTTACGGAATGTTGAAAATATGGACCACAAAACGTGCCCATAAAGTGTCAGGTTTTCAGGTCGTCGCCAACCACCCACAAAGTGTTGGAAAGAATATGTCCGCAGCCTCCACTCGGGCCTTTGGTTCTTTAAGGATGAATGGCGGTTGGTTACAAAACGTATTCGAGTGAGAGTGAAAAATATAACAAAATTATAACCACATAAAAAGTAGTCTTTAAAACAAGGCAAGATCCAAGCAAGAAAGTAACACGGCACCTGATCAGCTTCAATACACTGAATATCGGCGATGCTTCTTATCGGTCCAAGAGCCGCCTCGCGACAAAGGTTAGCCATGTCTGAGCCTGAATAACCTGCAAAGAAAGAGGAACTGAGTAAAAAAACCGTCGCTATAAGAAATGAACCCATATGCTCTATCTGCTCCTTTTCAATCAGTCAAAAGGGCAAGTTGTCACCACGAGACTTGAGGGGGCGAGGTCTACCAAAAGGAATAAAAATAGACGATAAGGGTATAGTTAAATGGAAACCACGAATTTCTTTCTGACCTATATTTCAGACTTTTCACTTGCGGTTTTACAGGCAACTCTACCAAAAAGGAAACGGCTGAAAAGGACAAATCATCTTCTCCTGACCTAAAAGACCTATAATACAGACTTTTCACTCGCTGTTCTTTTTTTTGTTACTCTTACCATGTGTTTGTTGAACAATCTTCTTGATCTCCTGTTCAGAGAGACTGTAACTCTGTTGTGATAACAAATTGTACATGATTTGCTGCCGAGCGCCAGCATCAGGCAAGGGAATGTACAATCTTTTTACTAAGCGACGTCTTGCAGCTTCATCTATCTCTTGAGGCCTATCAATAAAATGTAGACACCAGTTAGTTCAACCACTGAATTGATTTGCCCCATAAAAGACAAGCCTATCGGCGTAAATAGAAAACCTCAATAAAAGAGCTTTCATATAGCTACTTAAATAGAAATTTGGCAGAACAGGAAAACAACGTCCAACTTATCCATCAAATGAAAAACGACGCGTGTAACCCTGTCATCTTTTCATCACGAGGTAAGGTACTTTCATTCATAATGATATACCAAGATTGTACAACAGAAAATGATCAGTGTCTCTGCACTGCAAATAATGAAAGAGAAGGTGACGAATTTGAAAGAATACCGCCAAGTATATCACAAACGACGGGCTTGTTATCCTTTTTTGAGCTTATTTGCCAGGAATAAACTCAGCTTAAAAGCCCTCTATTGCCAAAAGAGTCTGAAAGAAAATGCTAATTTTGTAAAATGGCAAATTTGCTCATTACCGAGAGAGAATAGCAAATTATCGATAAATTCACCATTGCGTGTATTCAGTCTTGACATTAGTGAAAGTACCTATTTGTAGCACCAACAACAAGAAGTCTGTCATCAGAATTTGTTGTTGCGCCATCCTGAAATAAAAAGAAGGAAAAAAGGTCTCTGTTACACATTTCTGAGAAAAAAGTGAACGTTTATAAGCTCTGATCTTAATAGTGTCAAGGGGGAGGTAAAATACACGACAAGATTTTGCGGTAAATTCCTTGAAGTTATTGTAGATTTCAAGAAAAATCGTTTTCGGTAAAGAATGTTTACCGTGAAGGTTATTATTTTTGCACACTAATACAAAAGTGCAGAGATAAGCTATTTCATCATAATATGAAAGCTTATATAAACAATCACTGTTGTCAATACTTTACTGCGCATAACACTTGCCAGTTGAACAAGGAATTCAGTTTTTATCCTTCTTGAGGCATCATGCTCTCCATCAGTTCTCTGAGATAGCAGTGAATCTATCTCATCAATAAAAATAACAGCAGGCAGATGACATCTGGCAACAGCAAACAACGCACGAACCATCTTTTCACCTTCGCCTACCTATAATACAGAAACAAAATAAATAGATCGTGTAAGCAGAAAACGCCTACACGAGATAATGCCGCCCGGATAGCTCAATTAAAATAGCACCAGTCCTGCTGAGCGGGAGATTCGGGTTTAAACACCGGCCAGACCAACAACCGAGGTCTTTGAAAAACTGGTAAGATCATGCTGGCTATGTATAACATCACCCAGTCCATATCACTTCATTAGGTGGTGGCATAGTCAACTTTATCACTGAACTCGAAGTGGACGTAAGAGCACACACTACTGTTTAAAAAAGGTAGGGGAAGTTTCCACGGTGGTGCATGTGATCAACCTCTACCTCTGTTATTACTTCATTTGTCACACATATCATACAGTAAGCTCATAAATGGACAGATAAGGGTAGCCAGTGGCGCGCCATTTTCTGCTCACGTCCGAACTTACTGTTCATCACATTTTGTGCGAAAAGAGGACTGGTACTGTAGTGTTGCCCTCTCATTTGCGACATTACATTAAATAAGTTGTCTATTATTAGTGTACACTTACCCACTTAGATGTAAGAGATGACGCGCTGATACTGAAGAATGTGGCCTTGGATTGACTGGCTATGCACTTGCCTAAATCAACACGTTCGCTTATCATTATTTTATGGTGTATAATTTTTTAACGACTTAAGATCACTTTAGAGAAGTTAACAAAGATTTTAACCCAATCGAAAGATCCAGGGAGTGTTACTTTCGAAAGATACTATATTTCGATTGTCTTTAATATAGAATTCAAGGATCAGTGAAAGACTGCCGGTGTAACAATAAATGATGAGACAATTGTTATTTCCTGTCCCCTTTACAATCTAGGATTGATCTTTAACAAAGCAAAACCAAGCAAACCGAAAAACAAATTATCGAGAGAAAAACAGGAAAGCAGTATTTATGATTTTAAGGATTGATACAACCGAAGGGAGGAGTTAAAAACGGTCCCACTTTACTAACGACTTCACGCCCTAATCTTCCCGCCTGGCCACGTTCTCACTGATAATACATGGTCATTGCTAAAAAACAAGGTTGCACATGAGTCTGCCAGAAACTTTCTTTACCCAATGTTCAGGGCAAGCTAAATACTCCATCCTTTTAATAAAACCTTATACACCTTTTCTTTACCACCCAAAAATTGTTAAAAAGAAGAAGGTCTTAAAAGTATTACAAGTGATCGACACTATCTGTCTTCTGCCAGGTGACAAGAGAAATACAAAACAGTTCTGTACTCATCATTTAAATTTTTTTATTCTTTCTGAAATTATACACGAATAGTTTCAGTATTTACCAATTAATGTTTTTCCAGTTCCTGGCGGTCCAAATAACAGCACTCCCTTGGGAGGTCCTCGCAAGCCTTTGAAGATGTCACTGAAAAATAAACCGGGGTTTTGATAAAGGGAAACAGGTCTGGTTAAAGACCATCAGAAACCAAATCTGAGCACGAAGAATTATCTAACTATTGGATTGATACGAGAGATTTACTCAAGGAAGGTGACGAGGACACTTTATACAGACTTTAAAATGTATGTATCAACAGGTTCGTTTAATTCACAGAAACGTGAATGCTAAGAGGACAGACACCTCTGTCAACTAAAACTGTATTCTAGATCAACTATCAATTCTAGTAGGTTTTAAATACTATAAGCTGATTTATTATGTGTAAATATGATATGGATTTATCACCAGACTTACGGTCTCAGCATGGGCCACACAACAATCTCTTTGATTACACTCTTGGCAAATTCCAGTCCTGCAATATCATCCCATGACACCGGTGGACCATGATCCATAATCTTGAGAGTACAAAATGTACAAAAAGGTTCACTAACTGCTACACAAGGCAGATTATCATCTCAAGTCGTCTCTTATGATCGTGTCAAGCAAAGTGGGAGACAAAAACGGGACATATTAATACTGAAAGGGGACACTGAGGGTACTTCAATCGGTAGTGATATGTTAAGGTAAACAGGAAACTAATATGGACCAGTCAGCTGATTTGAGGCCGAAAACCACATCAAATTGAAAGTTAACCGCGTTTCGGTCGCTAACCCGCCCTTTATCAAAGCCAATAGGCAAGCATTAGTTATATCAGCTTTTGAATCTTATTACCCTGGCAAGTTGTCTTTTTCTGCTAAGTTGATAAAATCAAATTTGTCTTTCACGCTTACTTAGTAAAACGCTTTGCGCTTTTGAAACCAACTCTGGCCTGATGTACACCAGAAAACAGAAAACTTCACCAAACAG